CTAAAAGAACTAAAGCATTGGAAGTAGATGGGTTAAAAGCCTCTAGGTTAAGAACACTCGTCAATATCTACTAAATCGTAACGCAATAGCTTCAGCAATTTGTTTGGCGTAGGCTGCAAAGATTATTGTGTTGTCCTTTTATTTTATGGAACAGTTTTACAGATTAGTTATGAATTTAAAATGTAGTGATGAAAAAAAAAAAAAAAAAACCTCATACATCTGACTAATTGTATAAGAAACAAAATTTAATTAATATTACTGTTGTCACGTTGTGCCATGAGTTGAACGTGGCTATTTGAATAATATGATCTAATCCTTAGGAAGGATCCTATACTGCACTAAAAAAACTTTTAATAAAAGTTGAGAACGTGGCATGAACATGATTAATATTTTGACAAATTGTTGCTTGATGTCGCCTATGATTTTAGCCTTGTCCCATATGTCATACCATTACCTACCTTGATGTCACGAGGTATATGGTGGGACCGGGCCCCATCTTATCCACATTTTCCTTGATAAGCTTAGTAAGCTAATTTTCCAAGTCGATGAAAAAGCTTGTCACTTTAACTATGACATGGACCAAATATGATTGGTGAGTACTCGAACACTTCTCAAAGCCTAGAAAATCTAACGAGGTGATTTTGAGAATACCATCACTTGCGACTTGCAGAGACATGGCCTTCCTATTTCATTCACATCCTTTAATTATTTATCGAGGTAATTAAGTGAGAATTAATCCTCGACCAAATCTCAGTCAAATTATCTTTTTATACAAAGTAAAACACTGCTTGACGAATTAAGTGTTGGAATTATCTCGATGACCATATATACCTCAGACCCTCATCTCTTCCAAAGCCATGTTGTCCATCAGAATGCTATATTATCGCAAATTTGAATAGGGTTTATAAATTTATAGTTGATGTCAAGACTCGAAATGATATTTTAAGTCAACAAAACCTACCACAAAATTTTAACAATTAAACAAGCTGAGTTGTACATATAATCTTATCTTCAATATACTGTACACTTTTTTTTTTTTAAATTTTTTGATAAATTCTCCGGTGATCCTAACTAGCCAGCTAAGCTGAAAGGGATGACCATGCACGTACGAGGTGCCCCAGTTGGTCCACCTCAATCAACGAGGCCCCATAAGGTGCCACTACTGACCACTGTGACCACTATATAAAGACCTGAAAATTGGGGACATATATTCAAGTTGTAGGCAAGGCCTAATCAATATACAGTAGTTTGGTAGGAGTAATGGGGGAGGCTTCCATGGACCGTCCCAATTTAGGTAAAGATTTCACATACACAGATGAAGTTTCCGACATGATTTTCGGGTTCTTGGAGGAAGATGAGTTTTCAGTAAGTTCTTTTGAGTCCAAAGTCGAAACTATTGACGAAGACGTGGAGGAGGAGGAGGAGGACAATACTAGCAATTCCGAGGAAAGTAAGGCTTTCTGGGAATCACAAGAGGAGCTTCTACAGGTAAAATTTTCACATAAACAGGATAGAGGTTCTATTTTGTAATTTTATGATATGTTCATAAAAAGCTGACGTTATGTCACTTATTTTTGTTTAATAATCTTGTCTAGTCGTACGTATTGTACACGCATGATTGTGATTTCTCTGTGATTGTTTCATTGCCAGGCGACTTTATACAGAACTACAGCCCTTGAGTCAAAAATTAGGCAGGCCACAAAGGATGCATTAAGGGAGTTAGATTCAGTTGGAGTAAATTGTTCTTGCCCAAAAATGGTAGCGGATGGTTGTCGGTGCTGTAGACAGAAAGAAATCTGTGATCGCCTTCAAACTGCAGGGTTTAATTGTGTTATATGCAAGTCCAAGTGGAAAAGTTCACAAGAAATCCCAGCAGGTAACGAAAATCTTATTCATTATAATTTATATAGTCACGTCGAGTCTAGTCCAATCAAGTACTATATGTTAAACAGAATCCAAATTAAGCAAATTATATATACATTTTTTTTTTCAGGGGAACACACATATCTGGAAGTGCAGAGTTCTTCCAAGAAAGGAGAGGTGAAAGTGATTATTGAGTTGAACCTTCGTGCAGAATTTCAGATAAGTCGATCCAGCGAAGAATACAAACGACTGATCAAAAGATTGCCAGATATATTCGTAGGAAAAATTGAAAGGCTTCGAAATCTAATAAAGATACTATGTTCAGCATGCAAGGAAAGCATGAAGGAGAGGAAGATGCATATGGCTCCATGGAGAAAGCATAAATACATGCAAGCTAAGTGGCTCGGAACGCCTCAGGTTGAGGCTGCGGCCGTGCCACCAACTCTTACGGCTGAGCATGGCCTACAGCGGCTACCAAAGCCAAGGGCTTCCATGCTAACATTTGATTTGTTTGATAACTTGCCAGGAATGTATTCTAAGGCAATCAGGGTCGTCTAATGGCATGAGAGTTTTTTGCAGTAGGTGTATAGTATTGACTATGGAGAGTACCCCTCTAGTTTTCCAAAAAATTTTGCACTTTATCTGGTTTGAAATATAGTTCTGCAAAATCATTTCCATTTTAAATGTCTCTTGCCAAACTCCTTGTTATCACGAGTACTTTGAGAAGTAATCAATTATTTTGGAAGGGAAGAAAAATTATTAATTCTTTAGTTGATTAAAGAACTAATCAATAATTTTGTAAAGGAACAAATTTATTCTAGTACTTCAATTGATTAAAGAACTCTACAATTCCCTCTTGTTATCTGTCTATATCTACATCTATAATCAACAATATTTAATATTCTTCTTGAGAACTATTTCCTGTAAAGAAAATTGATGAGTAAATGAAAGGGTAGAGAATGTTAAAGGTATTAATTATTGGCTTTAATTGATCATTTAATACAACATATTTACCACTTGGACTAATGTCACGTGAAATTAGATAACATTACTTTTTTAGATGACGGCAAACTTCTAGTTTTTATGATGACTATTAAATAGCTTTGTAACACAAGTATGAAACATTAGGGGATGTTCTCTTTGTCGTTTTCATCCTGTTTTCTATATTCGATTTTTCAAAACAGTGAAAACACGTTTACTTGCCTATTTTAAAAAACGAGTTTAAAATTTATAAAAAAACCGAAAACATCAAAAATGTTGTTTAGGGTGTTTTCAGTTAAAGCCAATCCAAAAATTTCACATGGTGTTTTGGTACAAAACGCGTTTGGGTGTTTTCGGTTAAGTCACCAACAACCACCGTCATCGCCGCCACACCACCAAAACCACCACCAGAGCTGTCACAACCACAACAGCAGAAGAAGCCGGCGACGCCACCGCCCAAAACCACCATAACAGAAGAAGCTGGCAACGCCACCGCGAGATGACAGAGAAGACACCAACCTAAAACCACCACGAGACGACATAAGAACTCCGCACACCACCACGCCACCGACCCAAAAACTGCCGCACACCTTCGCCATGAATCGGACTCCAAGTTCTTATGGTAGAGCACGAGGAGATTTATCATCAATATGATGATG